AAAAAGAGTGTGTGTGTGTGTGTGTGTGTGTGTGTGTGTGTGTGTGTGTGTGTGTATGTATTCAGATGTTTAAGTTAGAGATGGGTGGTGTCCGTATATGTGTGTGTGTTTGGTGGGAGGTGGAGGGGGCAGCATCTTGAAAGGTAATGTGTAGAAAAAAAAGGGAGGGAGGAAATTCATTTGTGGCCGGAGAACACAGAAGACAAATTGAGGAAGTGTTGTGCTAATGTGTAGGGGTCAGCAGCAAACACACACAGGTTTCTGACTGACTTCCACTTGGGTGGCCTGCTCTCTCTCTCTCTCCCTCTCTCTCTCTCTGTTGCTCACCCACGATCAGCCCTCAAGCCCTGAAGCCACCCAGCTACTCAGCCAACCCCCCAACCCCGAGCTCACACTCCACCCCACCTCTCTGTGCATCTGGGTATGACTATGTAGCACACATTTGTCTCCGCTGTGCATCCTATCCATCGATCTGGGGAAACCGTTCTTTATTTTCTATGTCCCGCTCTCTTACGGTACAGCAGAAGCAAAACCAAGATATCTGTGTTCACAGAGGATGTCTCAGAAACAAGAAGACCTTCAACCTATCCCATTTCAGCCCTTAACACACATTTTCCCATTTCCCTTTTATCCCTGCAGTTGACAAGCCAATTCTTCAGTATGCGGAATGGCAGTCTCATACGTAAACGCACAATTTCCTCAAATTCCAACATGACATATTTGATATATTTGTACATTTGAGATTATAACCTAAAATAAACATAGGTCAGTTGGAGCCATGTTTGGCTGTGAAAAATGAGTTTTTAATGAGTGACCCACCAATGGGTTACTGTTTATTCGTTAATGTTGCTGGCTTTAATTGAATGGAAACAGTTAAACACACCAAACAATTTGGCTGAACATGTTCTGTACCTAATTTATATTGTTTCTTTGTCCACTTTGTGTTACATAAATCAACGTTGGTCAAAGAAGGCCAAACACTTCCTCCCCAGCTTTATCTAACTATCTAGATTATCCACAGACTTTACTTTGGACCGTTTTTTTGCCAAACGTTTGGATCTTTAGATTATTCTGATTAATAAAAAAAACACTTTGAATATTGTGTGCTACACGTACACCATTCAAATCACCTCTTGTCTCTTAACATGGTGGCAAAGGCCAATATCTCAGAACAGAACACCTCAAAACTTTATTCCACTACTTGTGACAAGTGGGTAAATATATTCGATTTGGAAAAATAACAATTTAATCCACCAATTGCATTTTACTTTAAAAACTCTCTTTTGGAGGTACATGTGAGTCAGTGTCAATATAACATCTCCAGAAGTGTCATGCATAATGCATTTATCTTGACCAAAAGCACCAAATGCTGACACGTCTTGGGATTTTCCCCAACACACTTTGGTTCCCTTCCCAGACTCTGAAAAAACTCTAATGTGAACAAGTCTTTCAATCTCCAGACTTCTGTCAACTTTTATGACATGAATGTCCTACGAAAGTGATGTCTTAATGATTCACTCTGCACACAGAGACAAGAAAACAACACGTCGAGCAACGACATGGAGCAATTGCAGGAAAAACAGATCTGACAGCAAAAAATAAAAAAGCCAATAAAAGTCACTGCAAAATTGCAAGATCATAAAGTAATAAGCTAGATGTTATCCTTGTTCAAACACATTTTGTGGGCAAATGTTCTTCCAACAAAAATGGTTGGTTAATGATTATCTGTGCATATGTTTTATTTCACAGATCACTTCTCTTCTCTCTGGGGTTAAGATTAGTTTGGGATGCATAATTAGAAGAAATTCCTCTGTAGAGATGTCAGAGAATTCCACACGGCTACAAACCCAGAGAGCGACAGACAGCCTGACACATGATCTGTGGCTCGACATCTGATCTCCAGATCTGCAAAGCAAACATGCACATTTTGTGTACGCATGTGTGCACACGCATGCATGCATGCATTCACTCAAAGGGGTGTGAGCAGGCATTGATTAGTTTGTGTGACAGAGGATTAACAATGGTCACACAGGTATGCCTGCACACATACACCAGCAAACACATGTATGTGCTGGAAGGCGGGCTCAGCCATGGCGGCGTTGTATTGAGGGTACTCAGGGGTCTTTGAGTAAATATACAAACCTCTACCCAAACACACCCGGCTGCCAGATCTCATCATGTGGTTGAAGAGAGAGGTCAGAGTGTGAGACCGCTAAAAAGGTTAACACAGCCAAGACAAAGAGCACGGACAAAGTGAACCTTAACTGTGGTTTTCAGCATTTTCAGCTGATAAATGTAGTTTTTCACCTTCCATCTAGTCCCTCTTGTCGTCTGCAAACAGTGGCTTCACTAGGTTGCAACATTACAAAAAATACTAGCTTGAAGTGAGCAAGACACCTACAAAATATGGTATCATCAAATGTACACATTGAGAATTAAAAGGGAACAATGCAACAGGAAAGGGAACAATGATGTTTTTCAGTATGTGAGCTGAATCCACATGTAGAGTGAACACGGTGAGAAGACAACTCGGCGCTGGGGCCACATAAAAAACAATTTGTTTATTTAGCAGTTCATCTTTTCAACCTGGGACCCATGCACATTTCTGGAATGTATTCACGTCAGGAAACCAGTCTAACTAACCATCATCCTAACTGTTTCCACACAAACATTTGTATTCTGAAATGTACTTGTGAATGATAACATGTGCATGTCACTGCCAATCCAACTTAATAAATAGAAAGCAAATATGTTCCTAAAGATCTTTTTGTTTTGTTTTCTAAGATCTTTGGATTGGAGGCGGAGCTGTCCCACCACACACACACACACACCACACAATTTAAATGTTTACAGCTGTGAGCAGCTTTTCCTGCATTGTGTAAACAACACACACACACATGAATCAAACTTTTCTGCAGACCAGGTAGAAAAACGTTGCATCCTTTTCCAATAATGACTTCAAACTTTAACCCAGGATTTCCAAAGAAAGATTCAGTTGGGGATCCAACCCAAAATAACCATGATGACATCCTCATCATTTTTGAATTCCCCTTTGAAGGTTAAAATTCGTAAAGAGTGACAGATTTCTTCTTCAAGAATATCTTATGTGTACTTCAAAGACAATCAACAAAGTTGTACTTTCAAAGACTTGGGGATGAAAACGCAACTTTATGAGTTACTGAATATAAACATGAAACAAGGTACAGATAAAAGCACAATAGTAACGGTCAACTCTTTAGGAATAATCCTAAATAGCATCTCACTGACAGGATAACAAGCACATCTAATGGACAGTGGAGATGGAAAGTAATGAGACATCATAATCTCAGACTCTCACACACACACTGACAGCAACATCACGTAATCAGGCCACAAGAGACAGTCTAAATGACTCCTGCGAGGCCACAGACACAATAGGAAACAGAGGACAGGATCGCAGTTAACACGCACACAGCACCCCACATACATCCCTGTCCTCATCTTCTTCCTGCGTGACTAAGGAACTTCAAACCTGTAATTTAAGAAATGCTTTGCCCAAGGAATGCAATAAATCTTGTGACAGCAAAGCGAGAGGGAAAGAAGAGGAGAAAAAAGGAAGAAAAGTGTCAGGCGTGAGTCAGTTTCCTCCTCTGCTGTGTTTGTGTGAGGGCGGGGTGTCGGTGTTAACTGATACAGGATCAAGCTGGGTGGTCCGGGGACTACACATACACCATTTCTGTGTACAAATAAACTTAACCCCCACGCCATTGTGGTCACCCCTCCCAGGGCTTTTCCTCCATCTCTGGTCGTCACAGCTGCACAGTGTGCACGCTCACACCCATGCAGAGTCTCCTCCCTCCCCAACAGGGTCAATTGAGTCCTGCCATTAAAGGAGACAGTAACAGTCTGATAATGACTAGTGTGGCAAAACAATTATAAAGATCTTCCTGGTACTGACAGTCAAGCTGTCTCTGTCAAACAGATGACATCATGGATTTCTTCCGGTGTGTGAGTTTCTCAAATAAATGAAGTCCCATTAAGGGACTTTCCCGAAGAAGATTAAGGAAATAACACAAAACAACAATAAAAACCAACATGCTGAGTCATGGTTTTAATCACTTGTCTTTATTTGGACACAATGTACAAAAGAGCCGATTAGAAGAGAGTGTAGAATTGTGAAGCTGCAATCCAGGCTTCTGATTGGTCAGTCAGCCGATGAATTGGTTGTCCTCTGTGTTTCGCTGCTCTCCGATTGGTTAATGAGTTGATGCCACTCTATCTCCGTGGGAGCTAGATCTCCATCAGCTGGTCCGTTCCAACAATCACCTCGTTAGTCCTCTCAGCTGAAGAACAGAGAGACATGAATACATTATATAGTGAACATATGATATATAAGTGTTCAGGTTGATCGACGGGTTTAGAAATCTGTACGAAATATACTTATGAATCAATATAAAAAAAATACATTTAGATAATTAAAGAACTTGTGGTCAACAACTAATAATGGTAAAAAGCATGTAGTGGAAAAAAGTATCCTGTCACTTATCTTGAAAGGTGACTGTCAACTCTTGAATGTTGGAGTTTTCAAAGTAAATCAACAGGTTTTCAAGAGAGAACTTTGATTGCAATTGTATTAAAATAACCGGATGACTAACTTTTAGTGATTTTTAAGGCACTAAAGTGTTTACTCAAATGAGACACCCTTTCGGTCATTTGATACCATACTTAAATCGAATGGTAAACAATGGTTGCCCTGACCGTTACCCCTGAAGCTCACAAAAAGAAATAGATGATGCTTGAAACTGCGTCTGCCAGCATTTCTCCCTCAACCCAGAGCTAGTTCAGCATGAGGAGAGCAGACGCTGCTCCTCCCTCCATCCCTCCATCTCCGAGCATCGCTGCTGGTCCAAAGCAAACGGTGGCAGGGAGAAATGTTCCATCCACACAGACAGGTTTTAGTGTGAAGGAATCTGCAGCTCAGAGCGAGTGTATGCTCTGCTACGTGGAGGGGAGGACAAATGGAGCATGGGACAGCAGCAGAGGGGAGGAGAGGGAAGGAGAAGGAGCGACTGGAGAGAAAGGGAGGAGAATGTTCTGTGATGATTCATCAGTTACCTATACAGTGTTTCAATGCATAAGGATGATACAGGTGTAACTGAATTTGTTGTTTAAGTCTCCAGCTTTATGTATTCTGGCTCTTTGACCATATTATTGTGATCGAGCAACTACGTTTATTGTTCTGTCTGGCTCCATCCACAGAATATAGGACTGTATCAAGACACCGGATTAAAAGTGTCCTTTTCTTTCATCTTTACTGGAGGATTTTTTGTGTTGATGTTTTATGTTGTGTAGCTCTAACTCCCACCCAAATGAACACTAACGGCAGTGTTTCCCCTATAAACAAATAGTGGCGGTGCAGCGCCGCTGCTGAAATATGCGCGCCGCTGCTAGGGGGCGCCAGCCAGGTACCCAAAAAATAAAATAAAATATGTTTTTTACTTTTTATTTTTTTATTAAAATAATAATAAGTGGCGACCCTTTTTCATTTTTGATTGTTTTTTATGTGGATTTGTAGTATTGTGTTACTGTATGTTCAATAAAGGTGTATTTTTGCTAAATCTTGAGACATTGCCACTGTATGTACTAGGCAGGGTAGATTTTTGGCATAGGCGGTCGCCTAGGGCGCCAGATCTGGGGGGCGCTGCGCTGGTAGCTCTGGGAGGGAAAACAATTTTTTTGACGCTCATCCTAATTTTCGGCCTTGATGTAACAACATTCATAATTAAGTAAATGTAACACCCTTTTCACCCCGGTTACACTTTTCACTTGCCCTGTACGATGATGAATATGATAATGATAAGTGATGAAATTGGGGGATGTTGGCTCATCAGGCGCCCGCAGCTCACAGCCAAAGTGCGAGCGTGGAAGCGAGAGAGAGGGCACACCGGTACCGGCGCTGTTGTTATTAGAATCTGGTGCTAGCTGCGCTAACGGATATAAGAAGTAGATGTTTCTACAACCAGGNGAGAGAGGGAGGGTGGCACCGGTACCGGCGCTGTTGTTATTAGAATCTGGTGCTAGCTGCGCTAACGGATATAAGAAGTAGATGTTTCTACAACCAGGCTGGAGGAGAGCTCTCCTGTCAGACTGAGAGGCTCAGTGAGGTAAAGGACTCTCGAGTGTTTAGATAGTTAATTTGAGTCTAACTTATCTCAGTGGGTCTCAAACGTTTTGACCACAAATTATGTAAACACATATTTCCAAGGCACTCCTTTATAATTATTAGGATAAATAAAAACAGGTTTGAAATCATTCCAATGTATACTATAGGACAGTAAACCAAAAATATTGTTTAAAGTTGGAGAGATACAAAAATATGCATAAATAAATAAATGTTAACTAGGTAAAATAAGATATGAATGAACAACAGAAATAAAATAGTTTACATGTATTTGTTATTGGCTATGGTAGGTTATTGGTTATGTTCACATACTTATTTGATTATTAAAATGTAAACCGATCTTTTTCATATGGGTGTTTTAGAGTTGTACCCCCTAGATCAGGTCTCTAGTAGTTGTGTGCTCAAAGTGCATCAGATTGAAGCATTTCACTTTAAAATTTTCAAAAAAATCTTCCTTTCAACAAAGAAATGTTTTTTAGCTAACCAACTACAGTTGATGGTCAAGAGACATTGGGAAGAAGTGGAGAGACTGTGTATCTCTAATATACAACTATAATGTATGCCCACTGTTTTAACGCATGCATGTGTGTATCACCAAACCACCCAGAGAAGAGGTATGTATCTTTTAAATATCAACACCTGACAGACCTGAATTTTAGTGTGTGTGTGTGTGTGTGTGAGTGTGAGTGTGAGTGTGTGTGTGTGTGTGTGTGTGTGAGTGTGTGTGTGTGTGTGTGTGTGTGTGTGTGTGTGTGTGTGTGTGTGTGTGGCTAACTAGCAGGGTGGTCTTAGCTGCTAACAGCTTCAGCAGTTGAGTGGGTGTGTAATGTCTTTCGCAGCCTATGGTCAGCCGTCTAGATTAGTAGCGAGAGACAATCCTATGCTTTCTTACAATACCATGTAAAGTCAACAGCAGGGCAGGTTTAGTCATTACAGAAATATATCATATAGATTCATCTGATCTGACCTGATCTATGTTGCTGAACAGATAGGTGATTCTACTGAAACTATAGAGGCCTGATCGGGAGAAGTTCACAGTGATCGACATATTTTTAAAAACAGCTATGTCAACTTATTATAATTGTGTCAAAATAATTTTTTTAATTATTATTCGCAGACAAGAACAATTGAATGTACTCTACAGGCACATTAAATTGACCATACAGGGTCTACGATCCAAGATTATCATAAAGGGTGAAACATTTTGTATGTTTTTTTTTTACTTCTTTCTTCCTCCGCTCAAGGTGACATTTATTTTGATATCCTCCATATGCGTTGGTATGCGCCAGAAAGCGATTGCCAAAACCACATTTCTACAATTATGAACAACTCAGCGATTCATGAACCTTTATGTTAGATCCCTTCTTCGGGCGTGGAATTAAGGTTGCTCTTCTATTGCTCTTTCTGGAGGTGCCTTTTTTCTTTCCTGTATCCAATTTGAGAATAAAAGACTGCTGTATGCTTTAGTGTAAAGCCCTCCGGAAAAAAACTTGTGGGTTTGGGCTTTTTTAAATAAACTTGACTTCACTTACACACTATATACAGCAGATCCCTTTTAAAATGTATATTTATGGGACAACATAGCTTTTTATAAAAATATAATCAAAAGAGAGAAAACAAACAATGTGTCTGCATGGTCAGAGACAGAGACTTCCTGTCTACAAGACACACAGAGGATGGAACGTCGCAATTGTGTAACTGAACTTTGGCTGTACAGTGTAAGAAAAACAATTATGCAAGCAGGGGTCCAAGTTTCAATTGTTCAATAACATAAAGTAAGCATCTTGTGGCTGGCCAGCGGGAAAACATTAGCCAAAAAAAGCTAAAAGGATATCCGTTTTAATGCAGCGATCTCTCACTGAACGCTGCAAAAGGTCTCAAACATTTCTGAGGTGAGTTTAGCTCAAATTCACACTGTTGCTACTTAGAGTACCCTGTTGTTCACTCAATTAGGCTGCTCAGTCTGGTAGCTGAGCTCACTCCATTTCTCTATACGTTTGTGTGTGTGTTGGATGTGGCTGGAGGCTGCGGCTGTTGAATTCCGGGTGGTCCTGTTCTGGCCCTGCTCTCTAACCTCTCCATCAATGTGACACACACACACACACACACACACACACACACACACACACACACACACACACACACACACACACACACACACACACACACACACACACACACACACACACACACACACAGCTTTGGGGACAAGAGGATTAAGGCGAATAAAAAAAATCTCTGACAAATCTCTCTATCACACAGACCTCAGCATTAAGAAACGTTCCTGGTTGGCTTGAACACTTGGCACTTCCAGACAGATCCCACACACATACATTAACACCTTATCTGATTCAGCCGAGGAGAAGTGCCGGGGGCTTTAACATACAGTTAAATACGCTTTATGTGTTCGGTTGTTTTGCTGAATGGTGTTGTAATGCGAGGTGTTTCTGTTTCTTTGCTTATTCTGTCCTTTTTTCAGTCTCCACTTGATTTAATTTGACAATGCAAAACTGTTAACAGCTGTTTGTTCATTTATATTTAAATGCCTAAAATGCACTTTCAGCTGCCCTGGAGACAACAGTTGAGCAAAGCATCATGTACTTACCTTTTCTGTCAGGCAAATGTAAAGGAAGGTAACTATTTTGGGGGCATTGTTGTGTGTGTTTCTGATAATAGAACTCACCCTCTGGTTCGATCCGTTGTCCGTTCCCCACCAGACAGTGTTTGAGGTCTGCTCCTCGGCCGATGACAGCATTACTGCAGATCACACTGCCCTGGATATTACACCTGGAAAACACAAATTATATTCATTTCATTCATCACTTCACTTTCTAGTATGGAGTCATAAATTAGAAATAGAAATAAAAACGTTATTTCTGTTACAATCTTTTCATGTTTAACAACCTTTTCCTCCTGCAGTTCATAAATATTTTAGCTTAGTAGAACTTCAACAGAAACAGAAGGAAAAATCTCTCATTAATGGAGCTGCTCATAACTCAACATGGCCACATCCTGTGGGGTGGGATCACAAGAAGACATTGCTTCATTTATAGGCATCCCACTTAAAAGGTAAGGAGACGCTGTTCTTCTGCAGTCTAATAGAAAATACATGCAATACTCCTTCATACAGTTTTGATGTTCAGTGTTTGTTTTCATTTTATAGTGTGAAAATAAATAGATGAATCAAAAGTGAGCCATTCACTGCCACTCAACTGTTTTTCTAAGCCTTGCTTATTACTCAAGATGAGCCTGAACGTTGAGAGCCAGTGGCTCATTTCTGAAAGTTCACAAACTTTGGAGTAGTTGACGATGAATAGTTAGCAGGGATAAGTTTGCTAGCTTTAAAACATGATTTTCCGACTCTGCTGTTTGCTTTTTGAGCCTGCTGGATATTCAAAGATGTTTATGGTTCACACACTGTTTTCTTCTGCGTGCTTATGCACACTCGTACACAAACAAATGGGCCAGTACACAAAGTGAAGAACATCCATACTGGGAGCTTCCCAGCACTGCCACAGCCTTCTACTGTTGACTGGAGGTCACAGTGACAGTAGGAATAAACAGCCAGTTTCCCCACCTGCTCTGAATACTCAAACATCTCCAATCTACTGAGCTAAATGACAATGATTAGCATGTATATTAAAGAACAAATCTAGCTGAAGGTGTGTGTGAACGTGTGTGTGTTAGGACATTGTTGGCCCTGTGCTGCGGTCCCACCTGAGGTGGCAGTGCCAGCCCACGGTGCCTGCTCACATTCAGCCAAACCATCACCATAAAATTATTGGAGGGGAGACACAGACAGTCCTGTGTGTCCTGTGTCAGCTAACCGTGGAGGGTGTGTGTGTGTGTGTGTGTGTGTGTGTGTGTGTGTGTGTGTGTGTGTGTGTGTGTGTGTGTGTGTGTGTGTGTGTGTGTGTGTGTGTGTGTGTGTGTGGGTTAGAGAATGTGTGCTTCAGTAGCTTGGGGAGCCCGGTGGAGAACACATGTTGGTCTTGCCCAGGCAGTGACGCACACACACTTGGCCCTCTGCGCCTCACACACAGACAGGTTTGTATTGGCCCATTCTATTCAGGTGGTTAGGCCTGGAGGGAGAGGCAGAAAAGAGTGTGTGTGTGTGTGTGTGCGTGTGCGTGTGCGTGTGTAAGTGACTACCTAGGAGGTGGTGGTGGTAGTTGGTGATGGGAGATTACACGATTCAGAGTTTTGTAACATTAGAGAGAGAGAGGGAGAGACCACCAAAGAAGCCTCTGAGCAGAAACACCACTAATTACTAACACCAGGGCTCCTCCTTGCCATGACCCCCCCATCCTCCCTCTCACTCACACACACACACATGCGCGCACACACGCACGCACACACACATACACACACCCACCTCCTGTGCCAACCCCCCTGTAAAGTTGACCCTTACTATCCCTCTTCCCAAACACGCAGCGCTTTGTCAACAAGTTCTGGTCAGCTCCAAACAAAGAGAGCAGAAATGCGAGGGGTTTCTGCGACATGGCCGGGGTCTGCTAATCCCCTCACACTGGCTCTTTCTTTCTTTCTCCTTCCTTCTTATGTCCTCCAAAAAAAGAAAAAGGAAAGAAAGAATTGCAATTTCTTTCTTGCGTGCTAGCTTGCTTTCCCCTCGCTTCTTTCTTCCCTTCTCCCATCTCTCTCGTTCTTTCATGCCTTTGTGCGTGCACCTACATGGACATGATGAGGGTCCCCATGCTGGCTGGCTGGGGTCCCTGAAAGGCTTAAGAAGAAATGGAGAGAGACAGAAAGAGAGAGAAGAGATGGCGTTGAGGCCTTGATGGAGAGAAAAGAGAGGGAGGAGTAAGAAATTGAGATAAAAGAAAAGGAGCCCGTGAGTGAGTGCATTAAAATCCCCACTGGAGGCCAAGATGAGTCTCTTTCCTCCGGGGGCTTCTGGCTCAGACCCTGAGTAGATCAATCTACATGTTAATTCTACAGTGGATACTGTGCTTTCTGTGCAAATCCTCTTTTGGAGCAACAAAACAGTCAATTCGGACCGCTTTAAGTACTTGCTACATTCAACAACGTGATGTGCGATAGCGGCTGATCAAGATGCATCACTATTCAGACTGGGCCTTTTTGTCCTTCCTATGTGAAATCACTATTTGGCCACTTCTGTGCCACGTCTTGCCCAGGCTTCCTCACCAAATTTGCAGTTGAAAATCCTTCCTGGTTCATCAGATGCAATAGTTCCTGGTGTTGATTTTCAAAACGAAACCAGCACATTACTGGAATTTTTAGCAAATCATTTGGTAGCTTGTTTTCTGTAAAGCTACATTAACAAAGAGCCGAATAATTCAAACTTTAACATTTATACTAAAACAAATCTAATGCCATATTTTTTTTAAATCTGCTTCAACTTTATTTCCAATTTTAAAAACCCAAAGATTTGTAGAATACCAAATATGTCGAGGACAAAAAGGTGTACAAGAATATTATCATTCGATTCAATGGGGCTGCCATAAAAAAACAAAACTTTTGGTTTTAAATATTTTTGTCTGAATATTATGTAGCCAACCTAAAAGCAAATGAAAATAGGAAAAAGCAGGAAAACTAACCTGCATGTAAACGTAATAAATGACTTAACGGATTGAAATCGAAACATTCTCTGGTGTTTGATTAGATCCAATTGATGAAATGGATATATTTATCAGTCCAATGCTTTTACTTCCTAAAATGAATGATCAAAAAATCCGGATATCGGATGTTTGGAAATCACCTGTCAAACCCCCATGGTGCTCAGCGAATGTCATAACCAGTGGGAACATTGGTATAGGCGAGTAAATTAGCGGCTAAATAAAATATATTGATGTTCTGTGTTTCAGTTCAACAGCTTCGTGTTTGTTTGGAACTGGTCTCTGGCTGGTTGCACACCAATAGAAGCATTGTTAGCTCAGCGCTGCCTGTTTGACCCCATAGAGCACGGAAAACAAAACCTGTTACTCCTCCCGTCAACGGACACACACATCCACCAGCATCTGCCCGACACACACCCACGTTTGCACATAGAAGCACGTAGAAGTTCAATGGAGAGCTATGCAGGGAGTAAAGAATGAGGCCTACCACTGCTTTTATATGTGAACGCCGAACAGTGTTAACAAAGAGGGGAAAGTGTATTGGTGTTCAGTATTAGTTCTTTTTCCTGGAAACACTATCACTTATCTCATTTTAAAATCTTTGTTTACTAAATTCCTGCTTTGTCACACACTGCATGTATGTGCTAACTGAACACCTTGCAAAAGATCAAAAGTGAAGATCAAAACTTTTATTCATAAACATGCCTCGAAGGTGAACGTTTTTTTTCAGGCTAAATGAATGTGTTCGCACTTCAAAGGACATGTTATCAACGAGTGTGTGCATGTGTGTGTACAGATGGTGTGTGTTCTCACCCCTCCTCGATGGTAACCCCGTGCATGATGATAGAGTTGGTGACTTTGACCTTTTCTTTTACAATGGTGGAGTTTCCGATGGTCGACCTCTTTATGGAAGTCTTTTCTGCTACGTGGCACATTGCTCCGATGATGCTGTCTGATCCCATCTGAGGGCAGAGAGGACACAAACAGTTAAAAAAAAAACATTAGTCAGACATAATTACTAAGTCTGTCAAACGATTAAAAAATTTAATCAGATTAATCACAGCTTAAAAATTAATTAATCAGATTAATCACCATTCGAACTATGTCCAAAATATGCAATTTCTTTATGTATATTGTTGTGGGAATGGAAAGATAAATGAAAGGAGGCGGATATATCCATTTAACATACAGTATGTATGTATGTTTATTATAACATTGTTCTGTGTGTCAAAATGAAAGACAGCCCACACACCTATCAATCATCAAACCGTGGGGTCTTATTTCATTACGTGTTGATTTCTATCAACACGTAATGTTGTATTGATGTACTACAGCAAAAGTATTCTCCGTCCGGACTTCCTGCAACAACACCCAGCCGTTATCGTGATTCTGATTGGCCAGAAGACATTATCAAAGATGTTCTAATGAGAAGACGATCACTACGTGACAAAAGTTTTCAAAACCCTTTCTAGTCTTCGGTATTTCCAGACAAGCGGCTACTGAAATCAATCTTACTAACTGCTGTCTGTGCAATTTACTCGGCGCGAGTTGGCGGACTTTATTTTGCTTACTTTAACATCATTTTTCATGGTGGGGCTAAGCCATTTCTTGGTATGGCTGTAGCCTACCCCATACCCTGGCGCTGCCACTGGTGGGATGTATTGGGCGGGCCATTCTGCACATGCGTTATATGGGTTAAATATTTTGACGCAATTAATTCAAAAAATTAATTACCGCCGTTAACGCGATAATTTTGACAGCATTATTAATTACATATACAGGCCTCTCTAAAGGTGATCAAGTGTGAATTAGAATGTGAGATCAATAAAAGCAAGTGAGATCTAATACAGGCCAATTAGGAAAAACTGCTTACTTAGTGAGAAATGTGTGTAATGTATCGACTGTGATACTTCTACTGCATTACACTAACCTGACATCTCTCAGAAATGAAAGCAGTGGAGTGGACGGCTGGCTCCTCAAACAGCTTGGGGGCCTTGTAAAAAAAAAAAGAAAAAAAAAAAGGGAAGCATGGGATTAAAATAAAGAAATGATCAATCTGTAGGAAATGGGCCAAATACACAGCATTCAAAAAGGCATACAATTCATTCTAAGTGGCAAAAGCAAAGCGACATTAGGTGAAATAAGAAAAACAGTGACATCTACAACAATGAAAGGAAAAAGACTGCTAGAAGAGGACACTTTATTTTGTCATGATCAACTCATCTGCAGATTCATTTCTTGATTAATGTACAGTATTTGTGGAAAAATGGCATTCACTGCAACCAGAGAATGTTTGTTATATTTGCCTATTTGAAAAGATACTCTGAATTTCCCCTGAACTTAGTATCTACATGGACACTCAAAAAAGAAATAAACAAAATCCCTTTGTAGGAGCAAGCTCACGTCAGACTCACCAATCGGTTTGTATCTATGTAAGCAGCTAAAGTGTTGACGCGGTAGCAAAGTCCCTCGTCCATAATGTGAACGTAGCAGCGGAGCTTTCCTCCGTGGTAAGCCGCGCTCATGTCGCCGCGGTGGTCGTTCCAACAGGAGCGCTCCTGAGCCAGCTGGAGAAGGGGCTCGTCTCGGGAAGAGATGAGGAGCTCTGGGTATTCAAAAAAAAAAGTCATGAGTGTAAATGATAACACAGACACATTTTTGGTGGGGATTCAATTCAATCCAAGGCTTTTTGTCATGTGCACAGTAGCTACAGTGTAGATATGGCAATGAAAAATGTAAGTCAAGGGCTCCTCCAACAGCGCAACATGAATATATATATATGACAAAAAACGAATAAAACAGATCAAATAGTGCAAGAGAATGCATGTCTTTGGATTAGCCAGAGTTGTCCTTTTTGTCACCAAGTTAAATACATAGCTGATAGCCAGTGAATACATCCCAGAGCTCTTCTAAATAGGTTTTACAGTGCATTTCTGATGTGTCACTCACCCTGGTTTGTAGAGCCGTCTTTCGTTTTTAGATTCCGATCATCTGCGTCATCTTTGATATTTGGACAGTTGATGGTTTTGGAAAACTGCTTCCGCACCAAATAAGGTACCAGCTCTCCACGGATTGAAGAGATGGACCTACGATCCAAGAAGAGGAGAGCTTAAACACAATTTCAATATGATGTCAAACATCCAACAAAACAGAACTATTTCACATAAGCCAACACATAGGACAAGGATCCTGGTTTATTGTGCTGTCATTAGATAAGGGTGCACTTCCCAGGCATCAATTGGTGAATAAAGTGCAAGCGAGTAAAATACGAGAAGATGAGTTTGTGAGGAAGCTCCTTCCTGTATCCTTAGGTAAAAAAAAATAGGAAAAGACAGCTGTGATGGTTAACACATTTTCTGTAACCTTGCAATTATGTGACTCCGCAATCTCCGTGCAGTCACATAATTGCAAGGTACAGCGAATGCGATCGGTAATCACTTCCTCTTGCTTTGCTGCCATTTGTGCTCAACATCTGAGGAGAAGGCCAAGGTTGTGCCAGAAACTGAAACTACTTAAAGAAAGAAATATGTTTAACTTCTGCAGTTCAAGTTCGCACACAACATGTCAAATCCACAGGACACTAATGACTTTAGGAGGGTAATTTAACTGCATCAGACTTGGTAAAAAATGCATCTAGTAATGAGGTCTGAGCATTTATCCTGGGGACAATATAAGTAGGTGCATATCTCGATTATCTTTACGACTTTTAGTTTAATTGCAAACAGGAAGTCCACTACTGCATAAATATCATTACTATAATTGAGTTGATTGTTAGTAAAAGCAAAGAAAAACTCATTTAAAAGGCTGTAATGGAAATAAATACAATGAATGTATAATGCAGTTATTGTTACAGAACTAAAATCTTGTAAAAAACAGGAAATGAAAATTAGCACTTCAGCTTCTTATGATGACTTCAAGTCTCTCACTTCGTAAACTATGAGGTCATTTCCCCCGTCTTCATTTCTTTTTCCTCCTCTTTGCAATGTGCTGTGCTCAGTGTTCCCCCCCACCGCCCCACACCCCTCCTTTCACTTGCCCTCTCTTACTTTCTTTTAAAGGGAGATTAGAATTTCCATCTGAATGACAGGAGAAAAACAACAGTTACTCTGTCCATTTCTCTCCTTGAGCAAGAGACGGAGAAAGAGCATTGGCGGAGAGAGAGAGAGGAGCTGTTAAAAGAAAGTCCAAGAAAAGAGCTGAAGAAAGAAATGAGTCATCTAACAAGAGAGATGATATATGGCGGCAGCACGAGTGATGTAATGACGTAACACTTACATCTACATCTCTTTGGTGAATTACAATATTGAAGTTCATCTTGAAGCTTTAACCATGAGTGTTCAGTAGAGGTGAAATGATGAGTGTGGAGCGATTTGTATTTGTTGGCTTGGATTTTGATTTATTTATGTGTCAACCTAAACTGGACAACTTGAACTAGCCTTTTAACATATTTCTTAGACACAACTAAGCAATGCCAGATTTCCACAAATCAACCTTTAGCCAAGTACTCACTTTTTAATGGGACCGTTTCCAAAAATAATTCAGGATACACATGTTAGCAAAGTCTCATCACCACCCTGTTTTAAGAAGCTTGGCGCCATGCTGTTACTTAGCTCACATCCTTGTCTGTTATGAATCTTTATCTAGACCCCTGTCATCCTCAAGCATGCTTTGTATAGAGCTTTTAATGCTGCCTCAGATCTCCTCCTCAAGTGTGCCAAAAAAATGTTATATTATTAATGCTAACTGGAAAAGATAAGTAAGAAATCCTCAGGCAAAACATGCTTTTAACATTTGAGTATTTCATGTGGGTTTGGCACAAGGTTTTGGGATACAAGCAATGTATAAATACACAGTGCAGTATTTTAGCAATATCATTTGAAGTCTTATTATTAGTCGGCATGGAGTGAAGTGGCTCCATTAATGTTCCTTAAACACTCATGCTGCCTTCAAACACTACTTTATGACTTTTACTTTGGAGATTACACAGCAGTTTAAAGCATTTTTATCAAATAGATCCTTTGATTCTTCTAACCAGTGAACCCATGCCTGTATGGCCCGGGCGGCCACAGAGGGCTTTCTGTGACACTGCTTCACTTCAGAGGCTAAAGGCCTAACAGCCTGTCTCTGTGGCACATAGTAAAACAAATTAACACCTCGCTAGAATACCCTGCTAACAGGTCCTTTCAAAGCCTTACACACCATGTTACCACGTTTAACACTTGCTACAGATTAAGCAGCGAATGTGAATCTCTGTTGGACCGCGTGGGTTCATCGAGACACATTGAGCAACATTGCGGACAGAAACTGGTCACAAAAAAAAAAGAACCATTTGATAGGCAATTGTTTAATTGTAAGTTCAGTTGTATAATCACTCACTTGTTGTCAACAAGAAAGTCCAACACTTCTTTCTTCAGGCAGTAGAGGTGAGCGTCCACGAGGCCAGTTTTAATGTGCATCCTGGGATGTCTGCAGGTAAGACAGACACAAAGACAAACACAGTCAAGACAGGAAAATAAAAACAAATGTCACTTTTTCTTTAATCTTGATGATACGTTGCTTTGCGAAAACTCAAAGCACTCAAAAAACCATTTTAAAACACTAAATCTGTACAAATTAAAACAGATTATTATTAGAGTTCAAATGCACTGCAAACATGTATAGTACCAACTTCATGACAAACAGTGAACCGCTGCTGGTATTACTTTGAGGAGTATTTGCTTTATTTCTTTTATCACCTGCTGTTTTTATGTTTTGACTTTGCTTCTCATTTACCGAAAGCTATTTTATTTACCCCTGCTTTGCACATAAGACGGGAACATTTGATAAAAAACAGACGCAGCCACGGGCTCACATAAAAGTCAAAGAATAGTGACATCTGTCTATTGTCCTCTATCAGCTACCGTAGATGTGGCCCAGCAGAGCTGCTGCCATGAGACAGGTTTATGTTGGGGGGCCACATGCACACAGACACACCGTCACCCACCATGCATTCAGTCATTCACACACACTCACACACACACAGTTTGAACATGTGACATTTACGAAGCGAGAGCCAAAGAAAACCATTTCATCGACCAGGTTTCAATAAACAAATCCACACTCACCCCTTCATCCCCTCTGACCTATCCTCCTCTTCCCTTTCAATTATTACATAATAAAAACGGCAGGGAGCATTGTGCCTAAAAGGATCGTACAAGTGCTTCGACGTGTTTTAGTCCATTTACCCCATATCATACACCTTCCATTACTGCCAACCATTTGTGAAGCATGCTGCTGTGATTTAGATTCTCTAAATTGTAAAAGCAGATTAATATGAACAGTCTGTGTCTCATTACCACACAACCAAATTGTAACTTTGACCAGATAAAGGCAGACAGGATGTTGACTGTTTAGTGGTGTTCATATCTGAGCACAATCATTTATCATTTAAAAGTTTAAGAGCATTTGTGTGCTAGCCAAAACGGTCTATTTGATCCATCAAGCTTTGAATAGAAGCATCTGCATTTATGTTTTCCCACTCAAATAAAAAGCTTTACTTACATGTTTTGGCCTGTTTGTATATTTATTGTTAAGTTCCAGAAACACTCAAGTTTTCTCTAATGTTCCTCTAGTTGTTTCTTTCTGCTTTTAACCAGAGTCACCAGCACTGGTTTAACAAAGTTACATTGTGTATTTAAAGGATGTTCTACCTAAACAAACAAATGATATTCAAGAAAGAAATGATTGTACTTTACGTAAACTTCAATTGAAGAAGTTGGCATTATTGGCAATATGAATGAATAAATGTCAAACAAAATGTCTGCAGGGATTCAAGGTAGGATATAAAAAATGGTTTGATATTTTATAAAAAGCGAATGATGCCAAAAACGTTATATTTCCGTTCCTCTACCTCTTCTCTGCTAATTCCCTTCCTCTATCTTTCATCAAAAAGAACAATTCTTCTTTCTACTCTCTCCTGCAGTATAACCAGAGTGACTCAGGAGGATTGCCTGGTCACACATATTTTACAACCAGATGCTGAAAGCCATAAATCAAACGGTGTGTGTCCGTCTGTGTTAAGCTATTTTATTAAAAAGCATAAAAACACATGTGCCTGCACGCAGAGACACGCTCTGTGGGTGTTTGTCAAATGTATTTATTCATTCAACATTTTCCAGGTGTGTGCCTGCGTCTGTGTATAGTGGGCTTAAAGTGGAATTTATGGGAACACCCAGCATGTGACATGTGACTGTTCGCCACCTGCGGGTGGGCAGGAGAGAGAACCAGGGGGAGAAAGAGCGAGCAAGAGTAGGAACAGGTGCCCTTATGAGTGAGGGGCCGATTGGTCAAGAACAGGTATAAGGGACGTAAAGGACTCTTTCATTTTGACTTCAGCAGAAGCCCTCGTTATTTCATGCTAGGCAGACGCCACTGCGGAAAGATGGCATAGCAACCAAAACTATTAATGGGACATTGTGATGCAGAAAAAAATGGAAACCGACAGCGAACAAACATTTCATTTGACACTATGCCACACCCTGTTTTTATGATGTCAAAGGAGTCCTTTTAAGTGTAGAGAAAATTGCTAGGTCACATGCATGAGGACAATGATGGAGTCTCAAAGTATAGGTGCTGGAAAAGGGTTTGGGCAAAGAGGAAGGTCCCTTAAGAGTAGGGCTGCTCGATTATGGCAAAAATCATAATCTCGATTATTTGGGTAAATAATTGGAATTGCGATTATTAAATGCACTTTGAAAACATCCATTTATTGGAGAGAAAAAATGTGAACACTATGTTTTTAACAGTTGATTACCCTGAACTTTAAGTATAATTCAACTGAAAAACCAAAAAAAAAAAAAAAAAGTAATAAAAAGAAAATAATCGTTTTATTTCGATTACGTTGTTTTCGTAATCGTTGCAAGCCATAATCGTAATCGCGTTTAAAATACAATTGAGCAGCCCTACTTAGAGGGTGGGGTGATTAGACATTCTACTCATTAAAATACCTAAGTATGACAGATTTGCCAACAAAAGACAACATTTCTTCACAATACTATTACCTCCACATTACAACCATCCCCTAGCTGAGCATGGGACACTGGCCCTACTTGCACCGACATAAACGTGGTGCTTAAATCTCTTATTACTTCTTATACTAGGAAAACCTACGCCCTTTTATTTTACAGAAATATAACCGAAGAACATATGAGTCAACTAGTAAAACCAAAACACATTTTTTCATTGAAAAGAGGTTAAAGAGAAAGCGACCACCAATTTCAAATGCAATGTGTCGCTTCTATGATGGCTGATGGATGTTTTTCATAACACCAAATGCTGTACCCTCCTTATCCACAATCCTAAACTACCGGTACCAACATCTGCTCAAGCGGGATTTTCTAAATCAGGAAACGATTCACTGTTGGAACTAGTCCTTGTGTTTCAAAACACTGAACACTGGCCACATGCAACTTTAATAGTATATACTTCTTGCAGAGTCCAACTACAACAAACATCTTGCATTTCCCAAACAAGGGTAAACATCTTTCCTTTCCAGCAGCAGCAGCAGCAGCAGCAGCATGTGATCTCTGGTTGCTGTGAATGCCATAGAGCTCTGTGTCGATAGGAGCAGGAATTTAGTGCCTCTGCAGGCGAGATGACTCAACCCTTGGATTAATGACGGACTACTAAAGTACCACCACAGTCCTCAGTGGGAGAGAGGAGTCACATCTCTCTCGCTCTCAAACACACACACAGCATAATGTGTTATTTAGTTACAACTAAAAGCCCACAGCGGACGATGACTCAGACGCAGCAGAATGACTGTTAATACCCTCATTAGTCAGCTTTCCACTACAGAGCCAATTGGGCTCAAGAGCTTACGACTTATTCAAGGAACTATCGCTTCCAGAATACAATGTGTGTGATTTCCTAATACCATGCTAGTCTGAGAGAGGATTCTTTAATTGAGCTGACTCACATATTTGAACCTGTGTTATAAGCTGCACACAGACCTGCTGGTGGATTAAGGTTAGTGTTAACGACTGACCAGCACATTGAGTACATTAGATTATAGACACATCCTATTAAGTCTTTAAAACTCAGAATGTGAATTGTTTCTCAAAATCAGGTCATAAAGTGGCATTTATTTCAAAGAAAATCAGCAATTCCTCATATTGGAATAGCTGTAACTAGCATGTGCATCCTTTTTTTGTTTGACGGATGAGAAATGAATCAATCATCAAAACAGTTACCATCATTTCCTGCCAACCGACAAATGTATTTATCGAGTAATCGTTTTTTTAACGAAATATCCAAAAAGTCAATTAAAACCAGGCTGACACGTGTGCCAGCATTTGATTCAAAGCCTGCCCAAATGATCCAGAGGTTCTACGATTACGAACCAGCAAGTTAAGACATATTGAAAATCAATAAAGCAGATGCTTACACACAATCTACTGCAATGGAAGTCATTACATTTTTGGAAGGTATAACATGTTGTGTTGATTGGGTGGGTTTTATCCGCTGCCTCTTGTGCCATCATTGCTAACAGATGCAAGTAAACTCCTGGTCCAATATCTTAAAAAAGTCAGAGAAGTTAAGATATGCTACTCAAAAATGTGAAGCAAGATTTTTTAGCTGCACTGCTTGGATGTTTTAATAATGATGGGAAAAGAGTGGATGAGTTTTATTAACTAACTTATTACACTGCACGAACAATGGCTTTTATTGAATATTGCTCTTGATGCTCACAATTTGAAATGTTGAATTTGCCTATCAACATGCAGTCAACTATTCTTCCAGGCCACGAGCCCCTGACAAGTGAGTCTGTAATGTACGAGGGGAAGCTCTGCTGGAGTCCTTTCACCCGGGAAAGAGATTTCCAGGTCAGTCATCTCACATGTGCAGAATGTTTGCAGCTAACACACCTCAACCATATGGAAGCAGTAAAGAAAGACACAGGAAAGACGGATTGGAGGGAAATAAAATGGATGGACTCTTGTATGGAAGGGTGCACAGTATAAGGGAGGAATGGCTGAGAGAAAAACAACACTGTCTTTTAAATTGGACAGAATGCAAATAAGAAACAATATTTTGAAGGGTCTGTGCTGTGAACGCTTTGTAAGCCAGGGTATCTGCACATTTGTGAAGTACACATTTAATGACTTTTAGGACCTCTAAAAGGAAAAGAGAGTACCAATACAAACAACTAGAACTAGACAACAGTATAAACCGTTACTGAGTTGTATTGCATTTGAATAATGGGAAATATTCAGTGCACATTACCCAACAGGACTGCCTTCGCATTAAAAAAAAAAAAAATGGTATGGCAGTAGACCAATGGAAACCAATATCCCCCCCCTGCACACTCATCCATTCTGCCCCAGATAACATTTAATACCTCCTCTCCTAAAATTCCAGACCTTTTTAGTCCTTGAATATCACAAATTAAATGTAAGACTTTTTAAGGATCTGCGGGGACC